TAGTTTTTTTGTTTAGGATCCAGTTTGATTCATCACTTAGCACAAGATCGATTCTAAGACAATCTCCTCCATCGGTCTTTCCACATCCCTCCTAACTTATCTGAGTTTTCACATGGCTCTCAAATCAATCAGAGACTGTAGGACATTGCCTTTTGTAAACTGCACTCTCATTCTTATGTATCTTGCTCCCCTAGTGCCCTGTCCATACATTATGTGGGCCTTTCCACACAGCAAACTATCTAAAGAACTTGACTGTGTCCAAATACCCTTGTCTATTTTCCAAAGCAAGGTGTAATGTGCTTCTGTCTGAATTGCTTTGTGGGAGATTTGTGGGTACCCCATATAATGAAAGATTCTGCCCATGTAACAAACAGGAAGTAGAATGCATTGAGTCACCCTAGGGGTGAGAAAAGCGGTATAGAAATACTGTAAATAATAAATAAATACCACATTCTACTATCATGCAGTTTCTATGTACAGGCCCAAGCACACATAATCAACCTCCTACTAAGAAACTTACCAGCTAGTCCTGTGAAATTTTATCTGATGTTTCTACTTGGTGTCGACTTTTCCCATGTAACCTTGGTGGTTACCAAATTTCTTTCTGAGGCAGCTAGAATTAGACAGTTCCCAATTTTAGACACAAGCTGAAACACGCCAGCATTTCTTGCAGTTTTTACTATGTTTTCAGCCAACATGTATTTTAAGCAGTTCTTAACTGTTGTAAATTTTACCCATCTCTGTGTTTAATCAACTGGATGTTGTTAATCTCATTAATCTGCATACCTTGTACACCTAAGATGCAATAAGGATCTTTGGACCATTATAGAATGTTGAAGAGGATATCACTTTAACTGCAATGACTCAGTGCTATGGAACCATGGAAGTTGTAGTTTTACAAGGTCTTTAGCATTTTCTGCCAAAGACTCCTGGTACCTCACCACACTGCAACTTCCATAATTACATAGAATTGAGCCATTGCAGTTAAAATGGTGTCAAACCACTTTCTACAGTGTAGATGTACCCCTGGCCCAGTATACACACGCTATTAGACCATGCTGGCTCCCAGAACATAGGGCTTTTAAATTGTCCAAATTGGTGCATATTTCTTTTTTTAAAGAGCCAGTTGTTAAGGGCAGAAAAAAATGGCTTTGGATAATCAGAAGGATATATGGGTGATATAAAGTGTAACTAAGAAAATACAAAGAACAAGAACACTAACAAGCCTTTGAACTGCAACAATTCACCTACTTAAGCTTGCATTTATTCTCATATGTAAACTAATTTGTTCCTTCGAGGACTTTGTATAAAAAGCCCTATACTGATAAACCTCAGTGAGGCTTTGAAAACCTATTACCAGACTTTAAAAATACATGCAGAAATTGTTCTCTGTGAACAGAAGATCTGTTTCTCTAAAGTATAGCAATCTCCCCAATGGTTTCTACAAACTGTTTGCATTATGGTATTTTTGCAAACTGATACAAAACTCCTATACTCTCATTAAGTTATAGAAGGTAAAGACATAAAAATACCATAAAATCTATTTCACAATAGGGCTGAATGGGGTTTCAAGCTCTGAATTTGAGAGTCCAATGCTCAAGCTACTACACCATGCTGCTCACTATATGGTTAGAATTATAATATACAAAAGTAATTGAAATGATAACCCTACCATTTCCGATTGGTACAGAGCACTAGGAAATGCAATGCTAGAAATTGAGGGACTAAAATAATGCTGAATGATTATTTGGAGCGAAAATGCCCTCTTTGTCCTCCCTAATGTTGTTACACTCTGCATGGAAGAGAAATGTATTTTTCTGATATTTCATTGCTGTGGAATCCTGGGAGCCGTAGTTTAGTGAGACAGAGAAGGCAAAAGATCTAAAGCTCTAATGATTCCGTAGTGTTGAATCATTGCCCTTAAAGTGGTGTCAAACCATTATTTCTACAGTGCATATGCAGCCATGTGCTCCTGGAGTCTGCCCAAATAGAGATTTATAGTGTGGTTGCACCTACTGTATGAGGGACCCATCAGAATTTCAGGATCTTCCGAAGCAGTTTTCAAATTCAGGTTTACAACACACAATAAGGCATCAAAAAGCTCCCCTGTGTTGTGTCATGGGGATGTTGATGTGTGCTAACAAAGCAGATTAATAACCTACTCCCATGAGCCCATGGGTGGCCTCTAGATGCATCTACAGGCATGGGCCTGTGACTTGAACTCCCAGAAATCCCAGCCAGTTTACCGGCCATTAGGAATTGTGGGAGTTAACTTCCAAAACACCTGAAGGGCTAACGTTTGCCCATGCCTGAGCTAAAAGTAAAGGTTAAGGTTTCCCATTGACATTAATTCTAGACATGTCCAACTCTGGGGGTGGTGGTGCTGATCTCCATTTCCAAGCCAAAGAGCCACCTCCAAGGTCATGTGGCCAGCATGACTGCATGGAGTGCCGTTACTTTCCCGTCATGATACCTATTGATCTACTCACATATGCATGTTTTCTAGGTTGGCAGAAGTTGGGGCTAACAGCAGGAGCTCACCCCACTCCCTGGATTCAAACTGCGGACCTTTTGGTCATCAAATTCAGCAGCTTGGTGATTTAACCCACTGCACCACTGTATAAATCATGCAGTTTGGTACTCCTTTGGCCTCTGTGGTTCAATGCTACAGAATGGGCCATAGTAGAGCAGTGGGTAAAACCACTATTTGCAGAAACTTGCTGACTGGAAGGTTGGCAATTCAAAACCGCAGGTCGGGGTGTGCTCCTGCTGTTAGCACTAGCTCCTGCCAACCTAGCAGTTCAAAAACATGCAAATGTGAGTAAATAGGTACCGCCTCGGCGGGAAGATAACTGTGCTCCATGCAACCATGCCAGCAACATGACCAGGAGGTGTCTACGGTTCCTCAGCTTAGAAAAAGGATTAAGAGCACCTCCCTATGGCTGGAGTTGAGCATTGCCTCCAGACACCAGAGATGAAAGGGGAAGTCTTTGCCTTTGTGTATTTGTGTCATTGTGATTTCAGGGTGTAAAAAGGTATCGAATGTTTGCCTGTACATGTATATGTTGTAATCTGCTCTGAGTCCCCTTGGGGAGATAGAGTGGAATATAAATAAAGTGAATTATTATGATTAATCTATGAGACCCAGGATTCTGTAGTATTGAACCAGGACAGTTAAAGCAATGCCAAAAGGCATGATTTTTAGTATAAACCAGGCATGGACAAACTTCAGCCATCCAGGTGTTTTGGACTGGTATGGAATTACATTTTGACATGCAAAGTGGGGTCCACACTCTTGTTACCTCCCGAATAGATTACTGCAATGCACTCTATGTGGAGCTGTCTTTGAAGACTGTTCGGAAACTCCAACTAGGCCAACTGACATACAGGGAGCATGGCACCCCCTGGTTGTGTCAGCTCCACTGGCTGCCGGTCCACTTCCAAAAACAATTCAAAGTGCTGGTTGTAACCTATAAAGCCCTATAAGGTTCTGGCCCAGTTTACTTGTCCTAACGCATCTCCCTCTAAGTCCCACCTCGCAGTTTAAGATCATCTGGGGAGGCCCTGCTCTTACTCCCGCCAGCTTTGCAAATGCGTTTGGCAGGAACGAAAGGCAGGGCCTTCTTGGCAGTGGCCCCCTGCCTGTGGAACTCGCTTCCAACGAGATGAGATCGGCTTCATCCCTCCTGTCTTTTAGGAAGAAATTGAAGTCATGGCTCTGGGACCAGGCTTTTGGACAGCAGGCATAACAGCACTTTGGATGTGGAATCGGACTGGAATGGTGATACAGCTGACAATACTGTTTTATTGTTTTAATTAATGTTCTATTTATTGTTTTAACTGATGTTATATTATTACATTTGTTATATGTTGAGGCATCGAATTGTTGCCTAGTATAAGCCGCCCTGAGTCCCTCTTCGGGGGTTCAGAAGGACAGAGTAGAATTGCTGGAAATAATTAATAAATAAATGCATGTACTGACCCAGTTGTCTTGTGGGCTGTTTGGGAGATCAGTGATGGGATTAGGTATATAAACAGGCCTTTGGGGATCTTCTAAGTTCCTAAAGGCATTACATTCTGGACTAAAATGTCCAGAAGGTCAGCCCTTTGCACCCCTACTAAGACTTGTTCCTCTTCCAGAGCCAGCTGGTGGCTCCCAGTATTACTTTTTCTTTTCTTTTCTCAGGACTGCTTTGCCAGTGTTTTAGCTGGCTTTGAGGCCCAGTCAAGAGTCGCCTCTCCAGCCAAGGAAAGGGACTCCTGCGAGGAGAAGAAGACGACAAAAACCCTCCTCCTAAGCCCTTCTGCGCCTTAAGTCGGGCATTGGAGGGCTATTCTTAGTGGTGCTTAATCCATTGATCACTCTCGCAAGAGGGCTGGACACACTTCCCTGACATTTTCGCCTTTTCTCGTGTTTGGAGCCTGGGCTGGTTGCCTCGAGGCAACAGCGTGGGAGGCCACGGATTTCATTTCTCAAGTCAAGGCCCTTGCAGCGCGTGGCTTCCCACTGAGGACAGGGAAGGAGAGGGGCTTCTTCAGAGAAGAAAAGGAGCGAAACTCCAAAAGATTTTGAGTGTCGCACTCTCCCTTTTCCCTCACCCCCCCTTTTTTTTTTTCCTTCTGAAGTTTCCCCGCTGGAAAGGATTGTTGCTCCTCAACCCAAAGGCTCAAGCTTCTTCAGAGAGTAAAGAAACAGGAAGGAAGGATTCCTACCTCTCTCCCCTTTCCCTCCTTCATTCTTTTCCTTCGGGAGAAGTTTCTCTACTGAAAGGGATGGATGCTTCCCAACCCAAGGCTCTTTCCTAAGCTTCTTCGGAGACTGAAGAGAGAGGAAGAAAGGATCTCTCTCTCTCTCTCTCTCCTTTCCCTCCTTCTGCCTTTCCTTCGGAAGAAGTTTCTCAGCCGGAAAGGATTTTTGCCTCTCAACAGAAAGGCTCTTGTGGCCTTTAAATTCTCGCCTCCACTGACCACAGAGTAGAAAAGGAGGGGAAGAAGAAAGATTTCTCTCTCTCAGTCCTGCTTTTCCTGCTCTTTTGGAGAAGTTTCCTCTCTGGAAAGAGACTTTCCTTCCCAACCCAAGGCTTTTCTTGCACTTAAACTTCTCCAGGAAAGGAAGGAGCTTCTTCCCAGACTAAAGAGAGAAGAAGGAAGGATTTGTGTGTCTCTCGTTCCTGCTTTTCCTTCTGGAGAGGTGTTTTCTGGAAAGGACTTTGCTTTCTAACCCATTTAAGCTACTTCCAACAGGTCAGGAAAGGAGAAAAGGGGCTTCTTCAGCGAAGAAAAGGAGAAGGATTTCTCTCTGTGTGTGTCTCTCTTTCTCTCTCGCCCTCTCAGTCCTGCTTTTCCTACTTGTCTGGAGAAGTTTCCCCGCTGGAAAGAGACTTTCCTTCTCAGCCCAAGGCTCTTCTGGCACTTAAGCTCCTTCAGGAAAGGAAAGGGGGTTCTTCAGAAACTAAAGAGAGAAGAAGGAAGCATTTGTGTGTGTCTCGTTCCTGCTTTTCCTTCTCTTCTGGATAAGTTTCTTTACTGGAAAGAGACTTTGCTTCTCAGCCCAGGGCTCTTCTGGCACTTCATCTCCTTCAGGAAAGGAAAAGAGCTTCTTCGGAGACTAAAGAGAGAAGGATTTGTGTCTCTGTGCTTTCCTGTCTGGAGACGTTTCCCCGCTGGAAAGGTTCGCTCAAGCTCCTCTGGCAGGTGGCACTCTATTAGGGGGGCCCCCCTTCGCTGCTGCCCCTCCTCGCCTCCGTCTCTCTCCACCCCTGGGAAGGAGGAGGAGGAGGAGGAGGAGGAGGATGGTGGACCTCTTCAGCGGGCGCCTGCTGGTGAACCGCCAGGGCCGGGCGGTGGAGCCGGAGCCGGCGCTGGAGAACAAGGTGGTGGGCTTGTACTTCGCCGCCGCCTGGTGCTCGCTTTGCCGCGAGTTCACCCCGGTCCTGGGCGACTTCTACGGCGAGCTGGTGTCGGAGGCCAGCCCCGCCGCCCCCTTCGAGGTGGTCTTCATCTCCTCCGACCGCAGCCCCGAGGAGATGGCCCAGCACATGCAGGGCGCGCACGGAGACTGGCTGGCCCTGCCCTTCCACGACCCGCTCCGGCAGTGAGTAGCAGCCAGCAGGGGCCAAAGGGAGGGAGGGAAGGGCAGCAAGGCCACCACTTGGGGTCCCTCGCTATCCCCTGGGATCGGGGGCCAAGGATATCACTATCCACGGATGCTCAAATCCCGTGACAGGCAGTCCCCAGGTTATCGACAAGATCCCCTTCTGTAGGTTTGTCCTTAAGTTGAATTTGTTTATAAGTCGGAACAGGTAGGTTTTTAAAGTGTAACTCCAGCCAAATATATATTAGCCTTGGATAACATGTGGTGCAGTGGGTTAAAGCGCTGAGCTGGTTGACCATAAGGTCGCAGATTCCAATTCGGGGAGCGGCGTGAGCTTCCGCTGTCAGCCCCAGCTTCTGCCAACCTAGCAGTTCGAAAACATGCAAATGTGAGTAGGTCAATAGGTACCGCTCTGGCAGGAAGGTAAAGGCGCTCCATGCAGTCATGCCGGCCACATGACCTTGCAGGTGTCTACGGACAACGCTGGCTCTTCGGCTTAGAAATGGAGATGAGCACCAACCCCCAGAGTCGGACACGACTGGATTTAATGTCAGGGGGAAACCTTTATCTTTAACATATGGGAGCGTTAACACCCCTGTGATGTTTGTTTTGCTGTCTGTGTGCCTCTTCAGAAGATCTCTAAATATAGCACTTTATTTATCTACTTCACCCATGGGTTTTTAAATTTTTCACTTCTCGCACCATGGCAGATTTTGAAAAATGTGGCTTGTTGTGGAAACAAGGATTGGTAGGAAAACTTCAATGGAGACACCTTTTCCACATAACTCTTCCAGTAGTGAATTTTCAACCTGAGAGGTAAATTCTCTCATTTCCTTCCACAGAGCCATATAACCCAGAATATCAAGGCAGATAATCCATCATATCTGCTTTGAACTGGGTTATTTGAGTCCACATTGCCATATAACCCAGTTCAAAGCAGATAATGTGGGATTTTATACAGCTGTATGGAAGGAACCTCACTCCAGTTCTTAACTATGAGTTGTTTGTGTGTCAGAAATTTGTAACCCGATTTTAGTAAAATGGTGTTTCATATATCAGATGTCAAAATCAAGGCAGCAAGGCTTGCTTTGCCCACAGTTGGCAATCATACCTTGACAGGTAACTTGAAGGCTCTTGATATCTACTGGAATTTGATTCTTAAGCATCTAATGATTTTGGGATCCAAAACCAAATCCACTGAGATTTTTGATACCAAAATCATTGGATGCTGAAGTCCCATTATATTTCATGGCATATAATAGTAATAGTAGTTGATATTATTATTATTATTATTATTATTATTATTATTATTATTATTATACATTTAATTTTTTACCTGCGTCTCATCACACCTTGAGGCAGGGTACAGTAATTAAAGTACATAGATAAAACAAAGGACCATAATTTCTAACAGCCCCAGCCCTTTTCCTTTCCCCCCTCAGCTGGAAAAAGAAGGGACCTGAGGCTGTTAGGAATTGTGGGAGTTGAAGTCCAAAACACCTGGAGGGCTGAAGTTTACCCATGCCTGGTAAATTGATTAAAAGGCCGTCTATATAAAATGGCAAAATCAAGGCTTGTTTTTTGGAATTTAAAATATGTATTTTCAAGTCATGGATGCAAAATCCATGGATACAGGGGACCAAATTTATACACATACACAAAAGTCAGAAGAAAGGGAAAGAGAGCTGGCACTGGTTTCCCATGTTCATATAAAATGTGTTTGCTGGGAAGGGAGGTTCTTTAATGTCCTCTTTGCCATTGGTTTCCTAGAGGTTCAAGGTGCATACCTTAAAATGCAATTCCAGATGCATGGGAGGAGTGATGACAACCAGACTAAGAAGTTTGCACCTACGTTTTCCTCTTTTCCACACAGCTGAATAAAATCCCACATTTTCTGCTTTGAACTGGAATATATGGCAGTGTGGACTCAGATTACCCAGTTCAGATATTGTGGGATTTACTGCCTTGCTCTTCTGGATTGTATGACTGTGTGGAAGGGCCCTTAGACTCCATGTTTCTTACTTGAGTGCTATATGCTATATGTTGAGTGCTATGGTTGAGACATCATGTTTCATGCTGAATGACATCAACAGGTTGTGTTTCTTATGACATCAGAAAGGGCCACCTATAGCATCTAGGTTTTGGCCTTGGAGTCTCAGGGATTGGGATAATTGACCTGTCCTCTGCTTCCCTAGAAGTTAGGACCAGATCCAGTGGCTTTACAATAGAGAAGAGATTTTTATTAAGAAATTCTTGACAAAGTGGTTCTACAATAGAATCAATTGCCTAGAGAAGTGTTGGGATCTCTTTCTCTGGGTGTCTTGAAAAAGATAATGAACAACCTCTTGGGTATTCTTTAGCTGAAGATCTTGCATTAAGCAGGGATTTTGACCCAAAAGCCACTCAAAGCCCAAGACATCTAGAGTATCAAAGTTTGGGAACCACTGCTCTAGATTAAAGAAACAGCTGGAATAAGGCCTGTGGTATCTCGTATAGTATAAAAGAGGATTGTGTTGCCTGTAGGCTGTATTGGGGCCATCCAACACTTTAATGCGAAAACTTGCTTTCAAAAAAGTTCCAGTTCTGGTTTTAAATTGACACTTCATCTTGAGTATGTGTCATTATTTATCACATCCTCTGTGGAGCAACAGAAGAGTGTTTGTCTCATGTTATCCTCCCAGCACTCATTTAAGTATCGTTTTGGCATCATTTGACATGCCCAATAAGTTTAATGGATTACTTAGGTTTTGCTTCTGTTTATCTAGCCACTGTAATATCATATTTGCTCTCAGTGGTGCTTACTTTCTCATCAGTGGGTTTAAAGTCAGATGAGTACAGGTAGGATTTCTGGGTTTGCTTTTAAAAAAAAATAAGCCCTAATCGGTTTTGTAATGTAATATCCTGTCTCTGTTGATATAGCTGACAAAGTTCCAGGTGGAAATAGACATGCTGTGAGTGATTTACACTTTTTAATGCACTCCTGTACATTGGTGAAGAAAAGCCTACAAAAATGGTGCTGTGAGGAGATAGGATGGGTTTGCCATTTGAAGATGAGATGATAAAACATACAAACATTATAAAATGGGCTTTGGAAAGGGAACTGGTGAAGTTATTTAATCAATAATTCTTCTCGTGACCATGTTGCTCCACATGGTGTTAACTTTGCCCTAAGATGTAGACACAAATTACTGTGTGAAGAGAAGCCATTTTGCTTGCAGCTATAGCAAGGAACTTGGAACCAGAATGATTAATCTCTCCTTTGCTTGAGTTCTTAGCAGAGATAATAGCTCCTGAACTCATTTTGCCCTCCAGTTTGTCTGGATAATCCAGGACCCATCCAGAGGTTGGGGTGAGTTCATTGTACAGAGATAGAAAGGTTGTAGTGTTCACAATTCACCTCACAGTGCATCTTGAAATGAGTGAATAACAACATGAGTGGGCACAAATACTGCTTGATATGTAAAGTTTTGGTGTCCTGGCCTTTAGGGCATAAACCTGCATTGACTTTGCATATGAGTGTGGAATGCTTTGTCTGTGTGTTCATATAAATTTATGCCACATCCCTATTACATGGTCTATGATAGTGCAACCCCTGGTTATGCCAGTTTAAGTACTTTTAGATAAGTTGCATAAGAAGGATTTTTTCTTTTAAAAATTATATGTACATACATAGTATTAGAAGAGGATTTGAAGGGATGATAGCAGGAATTGGGAGAAGAGTAATGAAAATTAAGGCCAAGTCAAACATTGAGGCTTACGTACAGAGATTGTTTTGTTCTTGAGTCTCTTAACAGATAGAGTATCTCCTAGCATCACACTTTTGACATAACTGCACTATTGCTCATTGCCCATAAGGGTGACTGGACACCTGTCTGATGGCATTGTGCTGCTGAGTTTTAAGACAGCGTTTATCACCATCATGAACAAGAAAGAAATCTGCTACTTTTTTCTTAGCTGTGCTGTGGCAGCCATTTGGCATTCAGGTGGGCCCTTACAACCAGTGTTGGTAGAAGGGGATGTTGCTGTCTGGCTGCCATTGCAAAGTCACGAAAGAAGTAGCCCCTCTTCACCCCTTGGATAACCAAAATAATCTAGTGAGCCAATAGGATCATGGCCCATAACAAACATAACTGTTCATTATGGTGAGGTTTCTACAATATCAGTGCTTTTACTCACTCGAAAATATTCCTCCATGAAAAGTTTGCAGCCTTCTCTAGGTTCCCCAATGTGATTCTGTGTCATAGTAAAAAAAAACTGGATTTTCTTTATCCACAGTTTCGGGTATCCTTAGTGGAGTCTTGGAACATATCCATCACAGATAAAGGACTCATACAGTATTTTCTATTTAATTGATTGTTTAACTTTTTGTATAATGTAAATATTTTAAAGAGATCCAGCATGATTTGGCAGTTTTGAGATTGAGACTGTGATTCTAGGAAACCAGGGTTCTAATCTTTGTTCTGGCATGGAAAACCACTGGATGGCTTTGGGCAAATCACACTCTCTCAGCCATCGAAGAAGGCAAAGGCAAACCTCATCTGAAAAAAAATCTTGCCAAGAAAATACTGTTATAGGTTCGCCTTAGGGTTGCCATAAGTTAGAAACAACTTGAAGGCGCGCGCACACACACACACACACACACACACACACACACACACACACACACAAACCAGCAACAATAAAAGTTGTATCTGTCTAATTTTAACTGTCTTGAATAAAATGGTGGTAGGGATGGTGATGATGATAATAGTATTTTGCAGCACAATACTACACTTCTGCCTCCTCCAGGTGTTCAGAATAAAAGTATCCAAGGTGACAGTTAAGGATGCGAAGTATTGATTTTTTTTCCAAAATGTGTGACAATATTATGTATTATTTCCTGATTGTGACACTATAGTATTTGTGTGTGTGAGAAGTGGGATGGCGAGAGGGAGAGAAACTGTTACTAAGATTTGTTTAATTTTAAACAGAAGTCATGCATTCAAGCTTAGCAGGGTTAG